TCTTTTCACCTTAACAGGGCATGATTATACCCTATCCTGCTCCTAAACAGTTTCCCTCCATTGTCTGGATGTGGTAAGTGCTGTCCAAGTTTACCTCTGAGTTACAGCTGCATTCCAACAGCTGGACTCTGTCAGCCATTAAGGCACCCATAGAACAGCCCGCTTCTCCTTCCACTGGATCGCCAAGTGGATTCAGCAGCCCATCAGTCAAGCTTATGGTCTCAAGTGCAAGACTCCCCCTTTCCTAGTCAAAGTATACTTCACTAGATCATCTAGTATGCCATGGGCTTTTTCAGGCATTTTTTTTTTCAAGGTTGACCAGGTGGATGTTCAAGACTTAGTTGATGCCCTTGGTCATAAGGTTCTTCAAGCAGTACTGTAAGCAAACTGTAGGCACCTATTGTTTTTTTTTTTCCTCCTTGTGGGACTGGTAGCCTTTCATTTGCTGTTGCCTACCCCTTAGTTGAACTGTTTCTACACATCCCTGTGTTTCAAAATACTATCCTGTGTCCCTTAATGTACGACTAAGAAAATAGGATTTTTGTCTTACCTATAAAATCCTTTTCTTAGGGTGCACTATGCAGTCCCTCGCTCCTGTTCTTTAGATCTACTTCAATATTTATTGTTACAGAACTGAGGCATGTATTAGACTGCACCACAACTGCCCTGCAAGAGTGAGCAATGCATGTGGTTGCGATATGGTGGTGTGCCCTTTTGAGGGTCTTCCAGGTGCTTGTTAACTGCCCTCTGAAAATTGATCCAGTGCAAAAAGGGCTTCCATACTTGAGAACGGGTCCTGATAGAGAAAGACTTGAGTCTACAAAGAAGTATGCCGAATTCCTTGTAATGTACATGGTTTATCTAGGGGGGAATACTCTTTCAACAAAACTGCAGTCACATTTGAAATCACTTTAATGCCTAATGTGCTGAAAATGTCCACATTCATGTCTATAGGGAGATTTTTTAACAAAGTTAGAGTGGTCTGGAGGTGGCCAAGGAAACACTGATCTGCCTGTAATATATGTCAGACTATTAGATATCATAGATATCTCAAAAGCAAGTGGAGAAATTGTAGATGTGTATGAAAAGATTTAAACCATCTCACCCCTTATCAATATTGCTCAGTAGATTTTAACTAGAGTGGTTGCAAAGTCAGGTAAACTCTTGTCCAGTGTTTTTTAAACCCCCATTGTAGCTATATTCTGCAATATAACACGATTTACTGATGTGCTATTTAAAGACACCTAAAGATACAGTTTATTTACACTGTTTAGGCAATGATCAACTCGGTGTTATTTTATGACAAAGCTGAAAACTCTGTGTTGAACTGAAATATAGGCTGCACATAAAATATTATACCTTTGCTCTTTAAACGCTTCCCAAACTGCAAAGGTTTTGAAGCAAGATACTAGTATTGCCTCAAAACTATTGTTGATTTAAAAAAAAGAACCGGATTAATACTTTCACCTACTTTGTATGTAATGGAAGACCAGCTCATTTAAAGTTCAGGACCCAAGATTCTAAAAAACAAAACTTGTCTGAAGAGCTCATACTCAGCTATGGCATACAAAGATGCGGCCACATGTTGTTCCTAAGTCTTAAATTTCTCCATGGGACTAAGAAAGGTATGGACAGAGAAATGGTTGCTATGTTTCTGAAAATAAATTTAAGGAAGCAGTGCAATAGGTAGTTGCCAGTTTTCCAATGACCTAAAACAAGTATGCAGATCAAGTGTTGTGAATATACTTGAACTTCTCTTGTTCCAGGTCAATGATTTTGAAAGCAATAAGGTCAGGGAAAGCCAGCTAGCTAGCTAGTATTTTCATAAAAAGACAATGACAGCCTTCAGATTAGACTATATAAAAAGTACAGTGGTATAGATATCACTTTAAAGCTCAGCTCTAGTCAGCTCTTTTGGTTTTGGAGTTAAGTGAAGAAACACAAAGAGCAATAAAAACACCTCTTCTAGTAGGGAAGAGTCTCTATCAGGGTTTTGTTGCTATCTGTGTCCCAAAAAGGAGAGGTTTTCTATCTTCCAGTACTGGTGCCATTGTGTGTGTCTGGGATATATAGGTAAATTTGTCAAAAGTTGGTAGCACACATCCATTTGATAACAAAAAAAAAGCTAAAAATACCTTGCAACGCATATACACTATACTGCCAAAAGTATTGGGATGCCTGTCTTTACATGCACATAAACTTTAATGGCATCCCAGTCTTAGTCCGTAGGGTTCAATGTTGAGTTGGCCCACCCTTTGCATCTATAACAGCTTCAACTCTTCTGGGAAGGGTGTCCACAAGGTTTTGGAGTTTGTCTATCGGAATGTTTGACCATTCTTCCAGAAACTCATTTGGGAGGTCTGGCACTGATGTTGGACGAAAAGGCCTCGCTCGCAGTCTCCGCTCTAATTATCCCAAAGGTGTTCGATCGGTTAAGGTCAGGACTCTGCGCAGGCCAGTCAAATTTCTCCACCGTAAACTCGCTCATCCATGTGTTTATGGAACAAAGTTAGGAGCATGACATTGTACAAAATGTCTTGGTATGCTGATGCCTTAAGAGTTCCCTTCACTGGAACTAAGGAGTCAAGCCCAACCCTTGAAAAACAACCCCACAACATAATCCCCCTTCACCAAACTTTACACTTGGCACAATGCAGTCAGGCAGGTACTGTTTTCCTGGCAACATCCAAACCCAGACACGTTCATCAGATTGCCAGACAGAGAAGCATGATTCATCACTCCAGAGAACAAATCTCCACTGCTCAAGTCCAGCGATGGTGTGTATTACACCACTGCATCTGACCATTTGCATTGCATTGGGAATGTAAGACTTGGATACAGCTGCTCAGCCATGAAAACCCATTCCATGAAGCTCTCTATGCACTGTTGTGCTAATCTGAAGGCCACACAAAGTTTGGAGGTCTTTAGCCATTGACTCTGCAGACAGTTGGAAGCTTCTGTGCACTGTGCGCTTCAGCATGCGCTAACCCCTATGTTATTTTACGTGGCCTACCACTTGATGGCTGAGTTGCTGTTGTTCCCAGTTTGCTTCCACTTTGTGTTATAAAACAGTTGACTGTGGAATATTTACTAGCAAGGAAATTTCACGGATGGACTTATTGCACAGGTGGCAACCTATCACGGTACCATGCTTGAATTCTCTGAGCTCCTGACAGCAACCCATTCTTTCACAAATGTTTGTAGAAGCAGTTTGTATGCCTAGGTGCTTAATTTTTTATATTTTTTTTTGTACTGTTGAATTGTTGGTAAGGGGGGGCGTACTGGACACCCTAGCTGCCATTGTGCTATATGCTGGGTGTCCGGTGTGCTCCTGTACCTTTAAGGAGGGGGTGATTTCCCTCAGGTTCACCTCCCCTTGGTCTATCCATTAAATACATATGCCTCTACTATGGGGGCTCTCAAAATTTGTAGTTAGGACTACAGAATATCGGGGTGCCGTGACGTGGCTCTGTAGCTTACGTATGTATTTGCAAATGTGTGCTAACTAAACCCGTTTTTAACGCGTACTGTTAGACAGGTTGATTTGGTTTGTTTGCAAGCTGGCTGGCAAGGTGAGCTGGGAAGTTTTCTTTTTTGTTGATTGACATGCGTTGCCTGTCCATGTGTTCTTTGCTGGGAAGGACAGTTATAGACGGGGCAGTGGCCATTTTTTGTATGCTTGATTTTATATACCTGTGGCCATGGAGGTGATTGCAACACCTGAATCCAATGATTTGGAGGGGTGTCCCAATATTTTTTGCAATATAGTGTATGCGCTTGTAGGGAGCATAGGCCTTAAAGCGTACACAAAACACAAAGGTATTCACTGAGGCTGAGGTTTCTGTGCTGAGAACATGCTCAAAGACAGTCCCAGATTCTGTTTGTGATCAGGCGCTGGACGAGCTCCCAATAATGTGACAGCTGTTCATTTGACTGGGAAGTCCACCTTGACGGGGGGAAAGGGGTTCATATTAACCTTTTTCATACAATTAGCCAAGTGTATAAGCAGCACCTGGCTAAGTAAGCAAGAATAAAGGGTTAGTTTGCATTTACCAAAAACCTGCTATGCATGTAAGGGGTGCCTGTAGATAAAAGCAAACTATGCCGCTTTGACTAAAGTTGGATATTGCCCTTCCAATAGTTATAGGGCATTTATGTACCTCCAGAAGCCTAGCTGAAAAACTCCCAGTTATAGTGCCATCCCATCCTGCTTTGTTGCCAGAACATTGCCAATACACTGTTCACCCCTACCATCTAAGGATCGATCTCTCAACACCCCACCCACAAGTGTGGTCCCTTATCTCTTCCGTTGCATCATCGCTGAACTCAGAGCTACTGTGATGGGGAGAAAAAGCATCTGTGAGACTTTAATTGGCTGTGAGTGACTTAACAACATCCTAGCAACAACACAGGATGAAATGATACCATATTTTAGTTTTTTGGACAGGTTTCGGGAGGTAGGCAAATGGCCAATACCAATAGCAAAGGTATTATTCAACAATAATCAAAGCTGCAGTTTTTTTTTTTAATCTAGAGGCACCCCTTACCTGCATAGGCAGTTTTCTGGTAAATGGAAACTAACCCTTTAATCTTGTTTACTTAGCCAGGTGCTGCTTATAGTTTTTGGGTAAAGGTGAACTTACCAGTTATGTATCTGTTTGTTCAAAAATGTAAGCTTATTCTGGGTTATAAGGCATAATCAGGCCTTTTGGGAGATTTCGTCCACTTCATTTCATCTGGACATGTCTGACATTGTAAATCCAGACCTGGGACATATACAATATCTCACAGAAGTGAGTACACCCCTCACATTTTTGTAAATATTTTATTATATCTTTTCATGTGACAACACTGAAGAAATGACACTTTGTTACAATGTAAAGTAGTGAGTGTACAGCTTGTATAATAGTGTAAATTTGCTGTCCCTTCAAAATAACTCAACACACAGCCATTAATGTCTAAACAGCTGGCAACAAAAGTGAGTTCACCCCTAAGTGAAAATGTCCAAATTGGGCCCAATTAGCCATTTTCCCTACCCAGTGTCATGTGACTCCTTAGTGTTACAAGGTCTCAGGTGTGAATGGGGAGCAGGTGTGTTAAATTTGGTGCTATCGCTTTCACTCTCTCATACTGGTCACTGGAAGATCAACATGGCACCTCATGGCAAAGAACTCTCTGAAGATCTGAAAAAAAAAAAAAAGAATTGTTGCTCTACACAAAGATGGCCTAGGTTATAAGAAGATTGCCAAGACCCTGAAACTGAGCATACAGCGGTTTAACAGAACAGGTTTAACTCAGAACAGGCCTCGCCATGGTCGACCAAAGAAGAAGAGCGGTCGTGCTCAGCGTCATATCCAGAGGTTGTCTTTGGGAAATAGACGTATGAGTGCTGCCAGCATTGCTGCAGAGGTTAAAGGGGTGGGGGCAGATTGTCAGTGCTCAGACCATACACCGCACACTGCATAAAATTGGTCTGCATGACTGTCGTCCCAGAAGGAAGTCTCTTCTAAAGATGATGCACAAGAAAGTCCACAAACAGTTTGCTGAAGAAAAGCAGACTTAGGTTGGCCATACATTATACAATTTTCTTGAGAATTTTGCTTTAGATTTACCAAAAACCATATAATATGAGGTCAAACCTAAACACTTTCAATTGTATCCAATTAAGCAGGCCCTTGCACTACATAGTTGAAGTCTAAAGGAAATTGGGCAGAAATTGGACAGAAAATTGTATAGTGTATGGCCAGCCTAAGGACATGGATTACTGGAACCATGTCCTGTGGTCTGATGAGACCAAGATAAACTTATTTGGTTCAGATGGTGTCAAGCGTGTGTGGTGGCAACCAGGTGAAGAGTACAAAGACAAGTGTGTCTTGTCTACAGACAAGCATGGTGGTGGAAGTATCATGGTCTGGGGCTGCATGAGTGCTGCTGGCACTAGGGAGCTACAGTTCATTGAGGGAACCATAAATGCCAACATGTACTGTGACATACTAAAGCAGAGCATGATCCCTTCCCTTCGAAGACTGGGCCACAGGGCAGTATTCCAACATAAGGATCCCAAACATACCTCTAATACGACCACTGCCTTGCTACAGAAGCTGAGGGTAAAGGAGATGGACTGGCCAAGCATGTCTCCAGACCTAAACCCTATTGAGCATCTGTGGGGCATCCTTAAACAGAAGGTGGAGAAGCGCAAGGTCTCTAACATCCACCAGCTCCGTGATATTGTCATGGAGGAGTGGAAGAGGATTCCAGTGGTAACCTGTGAAGCTCTGGTGAACTCCATGCCCAAGAGGGTTAAGGCAGTGCTGGAAAATAATGGTGTCCACACAAAATATTGACACTTTGGGCCCAATCTGGACATTTTCACTTAGGGGTGAACTCACTTTTGTTGCCAGCGGTTTAGACATTAATGTTGAGTGATTTTGAAGGACAGCAAATTTACACTGTTATACAAGCTGTACACTCAGTACTTTACATTGTAGCAAAGTGTCATTTCTTCAGTGTTGTCACAGGAAAAGATATAATAAAATATTTACAAAAATGTGAGGGGTGTACTCACTTCTGTGAGATACTGTAGTATGCTCAAAGTGCTCTTCCCAACTGATTGTAAGAGAAGATGTCAATGCAGTACAATTTGCAAATATATTACAAGGTATGGGAATATGATTTTTTTTTAAAGTATGTGCTATTCTAAACAGCACAAATAGAACGAAAACCAAAAACAAAAAATCCCCCAAAAAAACAAAAAAGTAGCTTTTGAAACACACACACACACAAACTACAACTTTAAACAATGTATGACACGAATTTAGTAAAACAGCTTGCATTTTATTGAGCACATGGGCAATATTTCAGATTAAGAATGTACACCGCCATGAAAATATGTCAAAGGCAACCAGTAACAAATCCAATGCAAATCTATGGTTTTTTACTGTGAGTTGAGAAGTAAACTTAGTTAAAACGGTCTTAATTCACAAAACAAAAAATTGGTGATCCTGCCAGCAAGACCGTTATTTTCCAACTTCCTTAACAGACCAAGCTATCCAGCAAAGGAGATAAAGAATTGAGACAAAACATTTAATACCGTTAGGGTTGCTAACAATGGTCAGCTTTTATTTATTCAAGAAAATAGTGCCAAAAAGGGAACAAAACTTTTGCTGCAACTGCTTAAAAAGTGTGCTTTATTTTTTGTTACCTTTATCTAAATCTGCTAGTGCATCTAAGCGTTGTACACACGATGAAAATATCGGACAAACGATCGTCCATTTTTTTGTTTTTTTCTGTATGCTAGTCAAGAAGTTACAACAATTCTTGTACAACAAAAATACAACTACGGAAGTGATATAACATTTTATATTGTAATGTAATGTATTCTTTTGTTTATAAACACGCGTGATTTTGGTCGCTTGATTTTGTTACAGGACGAATACTATACTGATTAAACGAAAATTGTTTGTTCTGTTATCGTACTGGAAAATTTTTCATGCTTGTCCCTTTGGATAATTTTACATGAACTCTCATGATCGGCTTTCGAAAGCTGTGTATTAATGATCAGATTATCTAATTGGATGATCACTTCGAAAGCAGTATTTTTCGTCTGATTTTTCCCATCCTGTGTACTAGGCATATCATTACCCTCTCCCCAGATTGACCAATATAAAGTTGTCTTATCTCTTCCATCCAGAGTGGAGACACCTTATGACAGAAAATGTGTTACTGGCCTGTTCACCAGAATTAAAAAAAACAAAAAGCCAAAAAAAACAAACAAAATGCAGCCACAATTAAGGATTTGTAAACTGCAATATATTCAATTTTTGCTTTTGGGTTTAAAACCAATTACAAGTACACTTATACATAGGATGATTGTCACACAACGATTCATTTTGGCTGTAGCCAATGATGATCCTAATGTCTACAACCACTTTCAAACTGAGAAACCCAGCTGACAGATTTCAGGGGTAACGGATATTAAAATTGCTGGAAAACCTGGATTTGGTTTTCCCCACAAATAAGTTGGTACTGGAGGTATCTATTTACGTGACCCCCTTCTGTTTCATTAAGCATCAATAAACACGCTCATGTGTTCTCAGAACTCATAGGAACACAATAGTCAGTAGGGAAAACAGACCTTTTAAGCTTTACTTTTAATGCCCCTTTCAATAGTTCATTTGGATGAAGTTGGCCCAAATGAACTATTTACTGCACTAACGGGTTTGCTTGCTGGGTTCCTCTGCTACATACAGCACTGAGCTCCTGCAATGGGAAAAGAACTTCCCCTTTCACTCCCATAGTAAAATACATTCAAATGAAATGGCACTCAGCTCTTCATGGGAAGCTTTGTATTCTAGGAATGAATACAAAGGTTCCTCTGATTAGACATGGCGGAGAGGTGGGTGGATGATGTCACAGCCAATCGGAAGAAGCTTTGAACTCGATAATAGAATACAAAGCTTCCTATGAATGGCTGAGCAGCGCTCAGCCTATTTTGTTCCAGAAGAGGGCCAGGAAGGGATATTAAACAACTTTAGGCTTTAAGGCTCCGGCTGCTTGTGAAAAGTTTAGCAAGAAATGTAATCCTATGTTGATAACTGCTTCAAATAATATCAAAGAATTCCGATTGAAGCAACCGTCAACAGGAATTCAATCTCCTGCTCACATGTAGCCCTCAAATGGGTTATATAGCTTGATAAACCAATGTATTAGCATTTAACATGTACACCATAGGAAATGAGGCTTTTATATGGTTCCTTTATTTTTTTAGTGAAACAGTCAGATGAAGAAGATCATAATTGTTCCTTACAAACTGAACCAGAATATAATACAGGGTAAAATTAGTAGAAAAAAAAGCTGATAATTCTTGCGGGACATGGTTTGGTGGCAAACTTATAAAACACATTACATCATTTGAGGGAATCTGAAAGTAGAAAAACAGCCAAAACACCTAAACCTGAACTCCAGGCAATCAGCCAAAAACAAGTGATATACTGTATATTAGAGCTTTTTACAGTAACTGCCACATTAATTATATTTCTGTCTATATGGTCCTGACATTTATAGAGCTTTGCCCCACAGCACAGACCTGTCAAGCAGGACAGGGGACCTGATGTTTTCTGCCAAGGTTTAACTTTTATTTGCCCTCTTTAGTTCTATCCTGTGACTGGACAGCAAAAGGAGAAGTAGAAAACGGATTGGCTCATCTCTCTGCCCTTTCTTACCATAAGCATGTGCCTTCCAGTGGAACATACCCGATTGGCTTCTCGGGCTGCTTCTTTCTCCCCTCTCTGAGCTCTGCTGTATAGACTGTACAGTAGACTGCAAGAAGCTGATCCAAATACTAACACTGCTTGTATTACAAAAATAATGTAATGATGTATTAATTGTCAAAGAGCTGCATTAATTAGTGTCCTATATCTGTCTGGACTTTAGTCTAACAGTTGGGTCTGAAATGAAGTGTTTACTGCTCCTGGCAGCCAAAAACGAAATCACTTCTATGAATAGAAAATATTTGTCTCGCTCAGTAACGCAGATGCATTTTTTTTTTCTAATATTACATATAATTATTAGATTAAAAGAAGGAAGAAGAAGAAGGATAGTACCTATGACATCAATGGACAGCTGTTAAAAAGGTACACCGATTTTTATTTTTTACAGTGCAGGGCTGGCACCTATTGGGTGGGATTTGAGTCTGGAGTTGGGCTTTTAAAGCAAATCTATCAGCCTTTTAAAACTTAAATAAGATTACCTTTATTAGCCAAGTACATTCTTTATTCTCTGAAAATCTCCTCTGACATGGTTTTTTCTTTGTGACTAAGGGGTTGACATTCCTAACTGCTTGGCTAAAGTTCCCTGGTGAAGCCACACTCAACCACCACCCCATTGTCCAATTAGAATTCCTCAGTGGATGGTAAACATGCATAGTACCCTCTGCTCTTAAACAGGATTTTTATATTTATGGCTGGCAGGTGTACTTAACTTGTGCGATCTATAATTACTGACAATACCTGTACATTGCGAAGCTGTGGTGTGTCCACTGAGTTGCTTTACAGAGGAACAAGTATTTATCAAAATACATATTAAAAGTTATAGCAGAAAATTAGGCAGGCTAGTTTCCAGGAAAGGATATTAATGTACATATTCAACACCCTTAATCATTATCTTGGGAAGAACACCATGCATTTATGTTAAGAGTCCCAGTCTTTGGACTATTTATCAAACCAAGGATATATAGGGCATAAAAATATAATTTTAATTTTAGACAGTACAATAGTCTAGATTAATAAAACTATATAGTTGGGCAGTGAAATACAGGAATATTTGTTTCTCTAGCACATGGAGAGATTGTAAAATTCATCCAAAAAATATGTTATTACCAACAATTTTGTTAACAAAAAAAAAAAACCAAAAGGGCACTTCAATAGCTTAATCATTTCAGTACTTAAAGATAAAGCCAACTAATAAAAAAAAACTTCCTCCTTCCTAACACCTATTTGGACTAACCTGTGTAAGAAAGATCTGTATGTTTACCTATTTTCAGGCCCCTCCAGTTCGGTCATGTGATCTCTCGTGCCAGCCAGTGCCGGCTGCAGGGGAAAGGAAAAATCACTTGACAATGGCTGGGACCTCCCAGTGGTGATATCACCCGTACGCTTTTTATGGCCCATCTCTTGTCAGCATTCCCTCTTCTGTTCTGCAGTTGCTACTGGCTTACACAGGGAATATAGGGAAGCGTATAAGCAAAGAAAAGCCGGAACTTCGGTGTACACTCTGTATTCTTGTGTCTACTGGCAGGTAATAGATGACAGCCACAAATGTCAATGCGTTTCAGCAAATCTGGCCTTATTCGTGAATAAGGCCAGTTTGGCTGAAACACATTGACATCTGTGGTTGCTATCTGTTACCCACCAATAAACACAAGATTGCAGAGTGTACACCAGAATTCCGGCTTTTCTTTGCTTAGATGGATTGTGTGGATGGGGAATCAAGCTGCCTCTGCCAGAGCACTGGTGATAAAGCCACATCATAACATTGGGAGATAGTAGCACCTACTTACATGTATTTGAATATAGGAAAGTGTGCAGATCTTTCTTATACAAGTTAGTCAGCATAGATATTAGGAGAGAGATGGAGTATTTTTAAGATTAGTTAGGTTTATCCTGGAATTTTACATTAAAGGTGCAAGCACAGCACTACCTGGCAAAAAATATTCCATCCCATACATACAGTAAATAGAGTAGTGTGAAATTTATGGGTGCATTAAAACGGATTGTAAAGTTATTTGTTTTTTTTCTTTAATTTTATTCACTAACAAATGTTATACTTACCTGCTCTGTGTAAGCCCCTATCCTCTTCTGGGGTCACCCACCGGTGCTCCTGGCTCCTTCTCTTCTTGGTGTGCTACCATAGGAAGTCACTTCTTTTGGTGACACACCTGTGAGCTCAAACCAGAGTTGCGCTGCCTGTGTCCATAGCTCAGCCCCGCAACCCCACCCCCCACCTGTGCCTTTATCACAGGATTTGATGACAGCAGCTGGAGCCAATTGCCTTGAGAGCAGGGCTGGCCACAACACTTGATTGAGTGAGGGCTCAGGAATGTGTAAGAGGAGGTGAGGGGGGATACAACTACCTAAACATTTTTTACCTTAAGGCAGGGAATGCATTAAGGTAAAAATGTTTAGGCTTTAGAACCACTTTAAGTTGAACCTTTGCAGCTCAATGTTTACAAAATTTAATACATACGAAGTTGAAAGTTTATTATTTACAAGGTAAAACAATATAAACTTGCTGTTGTACACCCTATGAATCCTCCTGAAGCTGCTGACTTTTAATATAAGGACACTTACCTGTCCAGGGATCCAACAATGTCCTCACCCGAGCTGGTTCTTCAATTGGCTTCGGGTGCAGGGGTCAGCATCTTAAGTAAGGGAAACCAGCAATGAAGCTTTGCGGCTCCACAGCTGGTTTCCTACCACGCATGTGCAAAGCGCGCCTGAACTTTATAAATGTGGAGGAAACAGACAAGTGACACTTCCCCTTTTGGGTGAAGTTCTCCTTTAAAAGGCAAAAAATACAATGCATCAAGATCTGTATCCCACATCAACTACTGAGATTTCATCTTTAGCTAATCTGTCTGCAGTACTGGATACAGTTTTTTTTTTTTTTTTTGGGGGGGGGGGGGGGGAGAAAATGAAGAGTTATCATGTTCCTGCAGATACCTCAGGTCAATGCTGTCATCCAAGAAGCGAAGATCAAATGTAGATAACACTCTCACAAAGTATGTTCATGTGCTTCCACATGTTATCTTGAAACATCAGCATGCAAAAGGTTTTTAAAAACAGTCTGAGCCTGCACACATAAAAATACAAGAAAATATGCAAGGGTATGCAAAGAAAGCATTACAATGTCCAGTGGTTTACATCAGCACCAGTTATTTTGCTAAGCAGACTACAGGAGACTCAAGTAAGTTAGTGGAAACTTTCTGATAGGTAGACTAGAAGCCTTCATCCAAACTGATTGACAGAAGGAATGATCTGGAGATGAAGCTACATTTTACACAACATTTTGGGTAAAAAAAAATGGTTTGCATAATATGGATGTTCAACATTTTATAATTATTTCTTAGTAAATTAAAGGTCTGCATTAGGATAGAGTCCCCAATGCATCTCTCCCCACTTTGGGCTTAGAAAAGGAGTACTAAAAGTGAGGACGGAAATTCCAAGAATGTGCTTTTGCTTGATAATTAATCACAACACACACATAAAGGAATCAATAACGAGTTTTAAATAAATAATCATGTATTAAGCTGCATGAGTCCAATGGATTAATAAAAAATATAATAAAAGTCAGCTAGTCAGTATTTACAATATATACATCATTTATTTTCTCTGAAATAGTGTCCACCAATGGAAAACCTGCTTTAAATGAAGTAATTATATCCTGTCCTTCCCTTCCAATGATATCTAGAAATCAGTAATTACAGTAATCTGCTCAGTGATCCCTTTACCTTCTGGCTATCAGAGATTATGTAAACAGCACCTTGATAATGTGGTATATATTTCAGCCCCTATCAGACAGTGCTGTTTAACATGGATTGGAAACTAGCTCATGGGACAAACATCTTTGTTATGGATGAAGATTTAGAGCTTAGAAAAGAGTGGTAGGCCTTCATACATATCTGTTTTTAATTTAACCCAGTCACAAATATACTGAAATGTTGTTCTTTCTTGTTTCAGCACCTTGGCAGCTTTTTTAAGTTTCTCTTCATTGCGCTCTAGATATAGCTGGCCATCTGACTGTAGTAGTTTCAGCTTTTCTTTGCGGTTTTCGTCCAGTGGTACGTCTTCATTCATGACTGGGTTGAAACGGAAGTAGGTGTCTGGGGGCAGCAGGGCATCCAGCATTTTGTGAACCTCTGTGTTTATGCAAAAACAAAATCATCAGCGATAGTTCCTACACGTATCATTTAATGTCCATAACTTAGAAAATACAAGAAAACTACAAACAACAAAACATATTGCTCCAGTTTGGTTAATACAGAAAGCCAAATAAGGACCAATTATTTATTAACCACTTCAGCCCCAGGCCAAATCTGACATTTCTGTCATACATGTGAAAATTAGCATTTGTTTGCTAGAAAATTACTTAGAACCCCAAACATTATATTTTTTTTTAAGCAGAGGCATACGAGGCAGCAGATATTCAAAAGCAATTAAACACAAAATACAGTTTAGTGAATTTTAATGCACAACAACACAATATAATGTTCAATTGTTTGGTAAAATATAAAAGATGATCTTATACTGAGTGTATAGATACCTAACATGTCATGTTTTAAAATTGTGCATGCTCATGGAACGGAGCAAGTTCTTAAGAATCTCAATAGGCGACGCTTTATAAGCCTTTACAGGTTGCCAGTTTAGAGTTACACGGGAGGTCTGGTGCTAGAATTATTGCTCCCACTATAACGTTTGGGGCAATACCTCACATGTGTAGTGCAAACACTGTTTACGTGTGTGCATGACCTATGTATGCACTCTACTTTGCGTGAGCACAGGGGGAAGGGGGCAATATATATATATATATATATATATATATATATATATATATATATATATATATATATATATTATATTTTTTTTTTTTTTTTTAAGTTTAATTTTTATTTTTAAATATAAGTTTTTTTTATTCTTACACTGTCCCTTTAATTTAAAAAAAAATATATATCTTTATTGCTATAACAAGGGATGAACAACATCTCTTGTAATAGTATGGCCAGTGACAGGTACTCTTAACAGAGAGACCTGGTGTCTATTAGACCCCAGATCTCCCCTCTGCCATTAAAAGCATCAGATCAGACCAAGATTGGTTTGTCCGATGCTTAAACAGGTCGGTATCGCCTCATCACGAGATGATTGGGATGCTCCAGTCCTTGGTCATCTCTGTGGTCAGTCAATGGTGGAAGACCTGTAAAAGAAATCCAGCGCCTAATTAGCCCATAGGATTGCTTTTACATGAAACAAAAAAGATACTGGGAAGATGCCTGTTGCTGTAGGCATCATCCTGCTATAGCCACTTCAGCTCTAGCTGTGTACGGGTATGTTGCTGATGGTTAAGTGGTTAATGGCAATAACACACAACATAATTTTTAATTAGTTACGTGATCTATGAATGGAGGGAGCAGATCTTTCAATCATCCGCCCATCCTCCATTCACAGATCGTGTTTTATTGTTAGCAACTGTAGTATGGCTTCTATGAATGGAGGAGCTGAGCAGAAGGAACGAGCATAGTTGGGCACTCTTGATGAGCACAGCTCCACCAACTCCATTAACCACTGGGATGGTAATCAGAGGAAGAAGATATCTACTAAAGGAGTGGACAGCTGCGCAAGGGACATATAGCATCAATTGTAAGTAATGTCCCTTGTGCTGATTTTTTTTTTTAGGCTTTTTAATCTACACTTTAAGTGAGTCATACTGCACTCCCAAAGAACACATTTGAAAAGTGCTCGTTTTAACTTTAATAATTTAAAGGTTTTGTTGACCCATAACTGCTTAGCCTGACCTGAAGCACTTGCTAGACTCTTTTCTTTCTGTCAGGTCAAGCTTTCACCTGGACTTCACCGTTCCACCCATCATTTGCCATTTGCTTAGTCTACTTTGAGCCCAGACCATGCTGAATTACGAACATTAGAGAACATTAATCATTACTATTTTTCTCTTTGCACTTAATGCATAAAATATGTGCTTTATTGAATCTATATGGTCCCCTGGTGCTATGCTGTTTACAGCACAGACAATATCATGAAAAAAAGTCAAAGTGCAGAGTCCTGAATCAGCTCTGCAATGCGTACTGGAGTAAGGTTTCAGACGAATTAAATATTGGCCATGCTCAGAACTGCAATCCACTCAACTTCTGAATATGCTGAGCCGGCAGGACAGGACAACATCAGCAGATTAAAAATAGCTTCAACATCACTCTTATTGTTAGTCTGAAACACTGAGACAGTCACAATGGAATCCACTGATAAAAACTATGCCTGGATATTAACATGTTCATTATATGACATCATTTAAATGTCAGTGATCTACTGCACAAATCACAACATATTTCTATGTGATTGCTACACTAATATTAATTGATTTTTAGGAGTAATAAACATATTGTAGCAACACTAAATTTGTATGTGCGTACAAAAAAAATTACATTTCATTGCTTCAAGGTTACATACACAATTATTGAACCATGAAATGCAAATTGATAATTTTTCTATATTATTCACATTTATGTGCATTTTTCCACAAAGAGATACTTCCCAATCAAATCACAATGTAGTAGGACAGGACTTTAATGGTTGCAGTCAGCCTTCATTTCAACAGGGTTAGCGTACCAATGACCTCAAGGCCATTAAAGAAGAGGTGAAATCTAGATCAGAAGTCTTCAAACTTTCTAAACAAAGGGCCGGTTTACTGTCCTTAAGTTTTTATGGGGGAAGACTGTGGCCAGCAGAAGAAGAAATTGTCTTGTTATCAGTAAATGTAAACAAAGCCCCATCACTGGTGTCAGTATAAGGAATAGTGCTCCATCAATGGTATCAGTGAGAGGAATCGTGCCCCATCATTGGTATCAGTGGGGGGAATAGTGCTCCATCATTGGTATCAGTGGGAGGAATAGTGCCCCATCATTGGTATCAGTGGGGAGAAATGGTGCTCCATCATTGGTATCAGTGAGAGAAATCGTGCCCCATCATTGGTATCAATGGGGGGGGGAATAGTGCCCCATCACTGGTGTCAGTAGGAGGAATAGTGCTCCATCACTGGTGTCAGTGGGAGGAATAGTGCCCCATCATTGGTGTCAGTGGGAGGAATAGTGCCCCATCATTGGTGTCAGTGGGAGGAATAGTGCTCCATCATTGGTGTCCATGGGAGGAATAGTGCTCCATCATTGGTGTCAGTGGGAGGAATAGTGCTCCATCATTGGTGTCAGTGGGAGGAATAATGCTCCATCATTGGTGTCAGTGGGAGGAATAGTGCCCCATCATTGGTATCAGTAAGAGGAATAGTGCCCCATCATTGGTATCAGTGGGAGGAATAGTGCCCCATCATTGGTATTAGTGGAGGAATATTGTCCCATCATTGGTGTCAGTGGGAGGAATAGTGCCCCATCATTGGTATCAGTGGGAGGAATAGTGCCCCATCATTGGGATCAGTGGGTGGAATAGTGCCCTGTATCAAAAGGGAAGAATAATGCCCCAAGAGCCAGATAGAGGTAAGCAAAGGGTCACATCCGGACCCTGGGCAGCAGTTTGGACACCACTGATCTAGATGATAAACTTTACAAAGACCATAATAAAAAAGCTGATAAGTATCTAAATATTCAAATAACGGTCTCCCACATCCTGATGCATTTAGAAGTAGTTTTTATAAAATACTTGATGGTCAATTCACCAAACATTTACCCCTAAATACTTTGGGCAACATTCCCCTCCCAAATCACAAGAGCCCAGATGCTGACAAGTACTGGGATCTTCAGTATCCCTGATGCCCAGGAGGGGATGCTGGAAGGTTATGTCACATCCCATATTTGGTACTATTCCAAATATGGGCACAATGCACTTGTCCATATTTAGACAATAAAACCATGCCACCATTGGGATCCCCCTAATTTCTTGATCCAGAGATTGAAAAGGAAGAAAGACTTATATTGCCCCTTCTGGGAACTCTGAACTGAAGGAGACTTGTTGTGGGACACTTTTCAACGTTGCTGGAAATGGTAAAAGCAAATATTTAATGACATTTACATTAAGACATTTTTTTTTTTTAACAGATGTGTTGGTATTTTTTTATTATTTATATTTTATACCCGCTCACAGTGTGAACTGGTTAAGGATACAATAGGCCCCAAGACCAGTTCACCAGAGAAGGGGAGACCACCTAACTGCCCTCAATGCAAAGGGCAACAAACGCTCCTTTTTGTCTCAGGGAGTGCAAAAGAGCCTGGTGCCTCTTATTTTTATGGGGTAATTCTTCTAAAAGCACCCTCCTGTGCTGAAAGGTATGCAAGCTGCCCCCTTCCCATTGGTATACCAGTCCAAATGTCTGGTGTGCCAGGGAGGTTAGTTCAGGGAGGGCACACGCTGTTTTAATGTTGCTTTACATTTTGTTAAATGACCATTATTATTATTATTTATTATTATTATACAGGATTTATATAGTGCCAACAGTTTGCTCAGCGCTTTACAATATAAACGGGAGACGATACAGCAACAATACAGTTCAATATAAGAGGTTTAGGAGGGCCTGATCCTGGGAGCTTACAATCTAAGAGGGAATAACCCTCCTAGTGCTGGAATGGTGTAAAAAAACACACATTGAATGGAGCACTCCAGCCTGCACTTTCAATAGACGGCTTAAAAGGGGTTTAATAGCTTACTGTACTTGTGTCATTCAACAGCTGTTATATGTCACAACCAGCTGCTACATTATTATGATAAATAGAACAATTGTGACTGTAGCATGTCAGGCAAATGCTGTAAAATGTTGTTTGGGCGAATGGCGCTACATGATTCACTAGGTGAACTACACATTGAATTCTTAATAGTTGAGCAGCTTAGTATCTGTGTCCACCCCAAACGTGTCAAAATGATTGTGTTTTGTGAAATGTGGTTTTCCCCAGCCAGAGGTGAGCTATTAAAACTGTAACTGTTAACGTAGCAAAATGAGTGAGTTACCTTTAGAAGGCATGTTTTACTTGAAAGATTCCCAGCCCAAAATGTCCAAATCGGGAATTCTGTCTTCAAAATGGAAGTCCAAGTCTAACTATTCTTAAAAATATTCCTTCCCCCTTCTCTTATTTCTGATACCTAATCATTAATGATTTTATGTGATAACTTCCTAATGCTGGCCACCAAAATCTGACAATCCAGTTGTACTGAAGTCTATCAATAGACAGATTTCAGTACAACCAGCTTGCCCATAGATGGACTGAATCTCGGCTGGTCTCTGCTGAACCTGTCAAGATTCAGTCCATCTATGGCCGGCTTGAGGTGGTCCACCTGAGGTGCAAAAAGATGTCTCGGGTCAATAGACACCTGGCAAACTAACTCTTTATTCCATGAACTGTACAAAGGACTAGGGGACATCAGTTGCATATGAAGGAAAGATTTATAGTGACCAAAAGGAAGAAGTTCTATAAAAATAAAAAAAAGTGGAATGTTCAATTAAATTTGGCAGTGATGCAAAGGTCAATCACAGAAGAAAATATGGTTGCTTTTCTTAAAGTAAACTGTACCACAGTTAAAATTAATAAAGTAAAGAAACTGAATTTAGATATTTACCGACAGACATGACGTTTCTCAACATACAGTAATTTCAGTGAGAATTGTGCAGCTTGTGCTGCAGGTATGTGAAACGGAGCATATAAAAGGCAATGAAAATATTAAAGAAATCACCGGAGAATATACCTTCTGTATCGGTGGCACTGCTGATCACATTGGTCAGCTTGGCTTTCAGACTTGTGTGTGTTGTACTCTTGCCCACACCTTCATAACGTCCTGTGCCCAGAGAGATCACACATTGGAGTGGCACGTCTGGCCACAAACACTTACATTCGTGAAGAGCCAATGCACATGGATTGTTAATAAGCAATCCTCCATCCTGTAACAAAATATTAGGAAATACTTTAGAAACTCAGACTGTACCATAACAATTGATTGCATTTGTTGAAATACCCACTTTTTCCTTTTTCATTTTAATTAGACCTATTCTTGGAAAAGCCTGTAATAGCAAAGGTGTATTTCCACTTTTGCAGCCAAATTAGGAGAATACCTACTTTATATTTGTTACAGGTCTCCATTCACATAGCATGTTTTAAATAAAAATATTTACAAATTGCAGCTTACCGTTTTAGATCCTCTTTTCTGGGACTTCCAGCAGTAAAAAAAAAATCTACTTAGTCCTCTATGTTATAGGGAAGAATTGGGAAGCGGTGTTTACCACAATTAACCTTGTCTGGAGACAGATATCTCATCCCCTGTACTAGATTTGAACACTGTGTCTTAACAAAAAGGTTAAAGGTTTAGAAGATGAGCTTCACAATCATATGTTAAAGCAGAACTACACTAAACTAAATGATTGCTTTTACATCCTTTATGGGTGTAAAAGCAATACGTGTAAAAAAAAAAAAAAAATCTTTATCACCCCCCACAAGTAGTACAGTGTCACCATGGTGACACTGTACTGCTAGGGTGACAGTATGTAAAAAAAAAATAAAAAATATAAAAAAAAAAAAAATGTAAAAAAAAAAGTTTAAAAATTATAATTTTGGTTATAAACTAATTTGGGTAATTTATTTTTTACTAAACATATAACAGAATACATTTTGGCCAAGATTTATGATGAAATACTATTTATTTGCAAAATTTTATAAGAAAAAAACTTTTTTTCAAAATTTTTTGGACTTTTTAATTTACATAGCAAAAAAAAATAAAAATCGCAGTGGTGAATAAATACCACCAAAATAAAGCTTTATCTGTCTTAAAAAAAATGCAAAAAATTAATATGGGTACAGTGTTGCATGACAGTGCAATTGTCAAAGTGTGATAGCACTGAAAGCTGAAAATTGGCCTGGACAGGAAGAAGGTGCTTACCCCCCTTCATGACCAGGCCATTTTTGCAAAACGGCGCTGCGTTAATTTAACTGACAATTGCGCGGTCATGGAACACTGCAACCCAAATGAAATTTACGTCCTTTTTTTTTTCAACAAATAGAGCTCTCTTTTGGTAGTATTTGATCGCCTCTGTATTTTTTTTATTTTTTGCACTATGAACAAAAAAAGACAATTTTGAAAAAACAAAAACTATATTTTTTACTTTTTTGTGATTAAAAAAGTCCAGTAAAAAATTGAAAAAAAAAATCATAAATCCCAATTTGTGTAAATTAATTGGTTGACGTGAAAGTTATAGTGTTAACAAATGGTGGTATACATACTTAATTTTTTTTTTTTTTTACTAGTAATGACAGAAAGTGATCAGCGATTTATAGCGGGACTGCGGCGGGCATTCTGACACTGGGGAAGAACTGACTAACAGTCACTGACATCCCCAGTAACACTAATACAGCGATCAGTGCTAATAAAAAACACTGACACTGTACTAATGACACTGGGCAGAAAGGGGTTAACGTCTGGGGTGATCAAAGGGTTAACTGTGTGCTGTTTTATGGTGTGCTGTGTGTGTGCTTTACACTGTAAGAGCCATATAAAGCAGTGTGCATGAGCTGACGGGACAGATCTGTATTATTTACACACAGCTCTCTCACCCCCGATACTCGGCGATCACTGGGTGCCGGCTAGGTGACCGACAGACGAGGCCGCCAATGGCAGCATGTATAGGGCGTGCGCTCCCCCTACCAGTCAATGCAAAATCACACACACACACACACACACACACACACACACACACACACACACACACACACACACACAATTTTGCGCAACCGTGCCACCCTGTAGCAGTATTTCTGCTACAGGGTGGCACGGAAGCAGTTAAACTGACCTATCTGCACATCCCACTGAGTACATTCTGACAAGACACCAGTCTCAGCCATCCCTTGTGGACAACTGCACTCCTGGAATGACAGGAACTCTTGTTCACCCTCCTGTAATTCCTGGCCAGTGCACTTAGCATTCATAGGGACAGTCACATACCAGCAGGCTAGGCTTGCTTATTGACAAAGTTTAAAAAAACACAGTTACATAGTTAGTCTGGCTGAAAAAAGACAAAAGTCCATCCAGTTCAACCATAAAAAAAAAAAAGTAATAATCCTACACCCACAATTGATCCAAGGAAGGTAAAAAAAACGCAGAAAGCATGATCCAATTTGCCCCTGCAGAGGAAAAAATTCCTTCTTGATCCCTCAAGAGGCAATCAGATATTCCCTGGATCAACTTTACCAAACCAGTTATCATCTGTGTATCCAAGAAAGAATCGAGGCCTTTTTTTAAAGCAATCCACTGAGCTGGCCAGAACCCACTCTTAAGGGAATCTATTCCACATTTTCACAGCTCTTACTGTGAAGAAACCTATCTGTGTTTGATGATTATATTTCTTTTCCTCCAGATGTAAAGTGTGCCCCCTTGCCCTCTGTGATGACCTCAGGGTGAATAGCTCTACACCGAGTTCACTATATGAACCACTGATGTATTTATACATGTTGATCATATCCCCCCTTAATCTCCTCTTCTCAAGAGAGAATAAATTCAGTTCCTCTAATCTTTCCTCATAGCTGAGCTCTTCCATGCCTCTTATCAGTTTGGTTGCCCTTCTCTGTACTTTCTCCAGTTCCCCAATGTTAGTTTTGTGAATTGGTGCCCAAAACTGAACTGCATATTCCAGATGAGGTATTACTAATGATTTGTACAGGGTAATATGATATCTCTCTCTCTGGAGTCTATACCTCTTTTAATACAAGAGAGGATTTTGCTCGCTTTAGAAACTGCAGCTTGGCATTGCATGCCATTATTAAGCTTGTGATCTACCAGAACTCCCAGATCCTTCTCCACCATTGATTTCCCCAGTTGTACCCCCCTAGTATGTATGATGCATGCGTATTCTTAGCCCCCAAGTGCATAACCTTACATTTATCAACATTAAAGCTCATTAGCCACATAGTTGCCCAATTAAACAACAGTGCATTGAGGTCAGATTGTACAATGGAAACATCCTGTAAGGACGTTATTCCATTAAACTAACAGATCTATAATTACTTGGCACCACATTGGCCTTACGCCAATCCAGTGGTACTATGCCAGTCATTAAAAAGTCCCTAAAAATTATAAACAATGCCTTTGAAATGATGGAGTTCAATTCTTTAAGACCCCTGGGTGTATGCCATCTGGTCCAGGTGCTTTATTCACCTTTATTCTGTCTCAATATTTTTGGATTATATCATTTGTGAGCCAATGTGGATCATCTGGAGCTGTGTCAATACCATGCCCATTATGAACAAAAGCTCCCCCATGCGCTTTTGTATACACAGAGCTGAAGAAGGTATTTAATAAAATTTGCCTTCTCTTTGTCCCCAGTCACCCACTCTAGATTATTTTGTAAAGGGCCTACATGTTCGGACCGGACCTTTTTTCTATTAATATATTTGAAGAATTTTGGGGGGTTGGTCCTGCTATCTTTTGCAATCTGTCATTCGTTTTCGTATTATTTGTAAAACGTAAATGATGATAGCGTTCCTTCATTTTTATATTTAATAAAAGCTCTTCTCTTATTATCTACAGCTTTTTGAACTTTGACCATAAACCATATAGGTTTGATTTTTAGCCTTCTAAACTTGCTGCCCATGGGAATATATTTCACATACAGTCACGTACAGTCTTTTTGAAGAACTCCCATTTCTGTGTTGTTTTCATTGATGCAAATATTCCCTCCCAGTCTAAGTCTTGGAGAGCAGCTCTCAGCTGCCTTGGAAAATTAGCTCTCAAAGTTGAGCAGTTTTATTTTTCCCGTATGTGCTTAATGTTTACAGCGAACAACAATAAATGAAATCACTGCTACCCAGATGTTCTTTTATATGGACATTCATAAATAAGCTCTGCATGGTTTGAGATTACCAGGTCCAGCAGAGCATCATTCCTAGTTGGGGCCTCTATGAACTGTACCATAACTGTAAATTTGTCCTGTAGTAGGTTTAAACATTTTTGCCCTTTAACTGTTCCTGCAGTACCATTACGCCAGTCAAATTTCCGCGTAGTTAAAGTCCCCCATTATTATCACTGTCCCAGCCCTTGCAGCCCTTTTAATCTGTGCAAGGAGCAGAAACTCCACCTCCTCATCAACACTGAGAGGCCTATAGAAAACTCCAATGATTACCTTTGTAGTACGCTCCCCCATGTGCAGTTCCACTCATAATGCTTTAACCTTATCACACTCTCCATTAACTAGGTCCTCGTTCACTCTCGCTCTGAGATCACTTCTCACAGAGACAGACACCCCCACCTTTCCTATTTACCCTGTCTCTCCGAAAGAGAACATAGCCGAGGCATATTAATGGCCCAGTCATGTGAAGAAATGAAGTCAAGATTCAGCAATACCAATTAAATTATAGTTCTGTTGATGAAACCAAAGCTTCCAACTCACCTATTTTGCTTGCAGACTTCTGGCAAAACAAACACTTAAATTCACTGAACTTGTCACCGTATTTTGTAAATTTTTGATTTTCATACCAATGGTACCAATACCACTTGTTTGTAACATGGGAACCTTCTTATCTGCCATAGCCCCCCCCATCTTTCCCCATTCAAACCCCCAATAAGTACTGACCCCTGTCTGATCTGTCTACCCTATTATAATTTAATTCTCCCCCCCCCCCCGATCCTAGTTTAAATACTCCTCCAGCCTTCCTATGAACCTCTTCGCCAGAACAGCAGACCCCCTTCCATTTAGGTGCAAACCATCTTAGAATATAGGTTGCACCCCAATGAAAAGTCAGCCCAGTGTTCTTAAAACCCAAATCCTTCCCTCTTACACCATGTCTCGAGCCATGCAATGAATTCTCTAATTTCCCCCTGTCTTTCCTGAGTTGCGCATGGCACAGGTAATATTTCAGAGAATATCACCTTGGAGGTCCTTCCCTTTAACTTGCAGCCTAGTTCTTTAAATTGATTCTTAAGGAGCCGCCACCTTCCATGTATTCTGTCATTCGGTTCTACCATGGACCAAGACAGCTGTGTCATGCCCAGCCCCTCCCAGTAATTTATTAACCCAGTCCACCACATACCGAACCCTGGCACCAGGGAGAGAGCAAACCATTTGGTGGAGGCGATCCTGGTGACAAATTATTCATATATCATTCCTTCGGTTTATAGAATCCCCTACTACCAACCAACTGTCTAGACCTTCCTGCACTACTCTCACCACCCCTTCCAGATGGTCTGTCCTCCTGGCTGTTAGGGATAGCAGTGACATCCAGAGCTGCCACCCCTGAGCTTGCCACCCCTACATCTTCACCCAACATGGCAAATCTGTTTGGGTGCACAAACCAAGGGCCAGCCTTCCTTTTCTGTGAGCACCTACCACTCCCACTCATTACAGTAACCCATCTTCCTATAATCTGATAATCCTGATTAGCCCCTCCACCTCCACATCAATCCCATTAGCTACCTGCTCAGAGAGAGCAGAAGACTCCTTTCAAGTTTGTCGGCTCTGCCCAGTGTTGCAACTTGCTGCTCCAAATGTCTAACGCGAGTTTCCAGAAGGGCAACCTGCTCCCATGTGTCGCAGCAGTATCCATCTTGGAGCTGTTGCTCCATTGTTGCATACATGCGGCACACTGTGTACTGCACAAAACCTTCAACCCTGCTAGCACTCATTATCCCCAGTTACAATATTAATAGGAAAGATCAGTTGTCACTTACAGGTTAGTAAACTCATGTTATAATCTCCTGTTTTCAACTCCGTTTTTTTAAACTCTACTTAATCAAATGTCCACTTGAGCAAAGGTCCAGCAAGCAAAATACATGCAAGCTGAGGAATAGAAAAAGCTCTGAGTGAGCTCTACAGAAAGTTATATAGTAACACATGTAGCACCTGTGACCAATTAACCCCTTCCCTTGATTAGCAGGACTGAAGGAAGGCAAGAAAGGGAAGAAAAAAAAATGCTATTTAAAAAGTGACAGAAAAAGTGATTTAAAAAAAGTAAAAGCTTTTAGCAAGACCCAAATAATAAAATAAAACAACTACAAGCACTGGGGAATCACCAGTAGTCAAAAGTAAAAAAATCTTTTTCACTCGACACTCAAATTTCCCACTCTGTTTAGCTATCAGCCAGCAAAAAATGCCAGACACAAATGTGTGCTCTACAGAAAATTATAGAGTACCTGTAGCGCTTGTGACCAATTAACCCTCCCCTTAATTAGCAAACTGAAGGAAGGCAAGGAAAAAGGAAAAAAAAAAAAGTGACAGAAAAAGTGATTTAAAAAAGAAAAAGCTTTTAGCAAGAACCAAAGAAAAAAATAAAAAAATAAAAGCACTAGCAATCACCAGCAGTCAAAAGTAAAACTTTTTCACTCTCCACTCAAATTTCCCAATCTTTTTAGCTATCAGGCCAGAAATGCTTGGCTTATTGGAATAAGGACTGCTATAGGTGATGCTGCACTAAACTACATTCTATGGCCATTTGTATAGAGGCGAGCATTACAGTACACTGTTTATGATACAATG